ACTGACCTTGCAAAAATGGTTGTTTCAAAATTCTATCATTTCATCTGTATTTAGTAGCTGGCATAAAGAAGAATTTCTCTCTACCTCTCATTCTTTCTCTCTTTCTGTGAGCATCAATCACTATGAACTCATGTATATTCGGAAGGGGTTATAATCTATTACTATCATTATTCTTTTTGATGGTCAAATTGTCCCAAATTTGGCAGAGGGACCCCCTTCAAGCTAGCTCACGTGTGTGTGTGTGTGTGTGTGTGTGTGTGTGTGTGTGTGTGTGTGTGTGCGTGCGCGCGCTACAGGAACCGAATAGTTTTTGAGCATTTTCTAGCTTTCTGGCATAAAAAAAAATGTTCTAGACTCATCTTTATCTTTTTGTGCTCTAGACTTGAAACCAGTCACTTCTCCAAAGAGCTTTGGTTCCATCTAATGGTAATGGTGATTAGAAACCACTACTCCAGGACAGAAATTCACGGCTCTGCAGCAAGATCCGCCTTCAGTCTCAGGGCAGCAAGCTTGCCAAGCATGCAGGAAAACATGGCCCGAACCCCTTCCTTCTTACTGGGTCAGAAGAACAGCACAACTTTGGGAGAAAGTATCAACCACCGGGTTTGGTTCCCTCACTCCCCAAGCCACAGGCCTGCAGGATGTTAGAGTAACGGGCGGGGAGCAGGAGGAATGGGCTATGGAACCAGCCCATGGATGGGATCTCGGTTCCTCTTAAAGAGCGACCTCCCACTCTATTAGCGGTGTCACGTGGGGCGGGTTACTTGGCATCCCTTAAGCCTCATTTCCTTGTCCTAATTAGGGGCACTTATAATATCTTCCTCAAGGGAATGCTGAGAGGATCGAATGGAAAAATATGGGCAAACGTCTTAGGTCAGACCCCGGCCCACGGTAAGTAGTTATTTTTAGATGGTGGTGATTGTTCTGTAGTTGTAATCACCACTACTACCACTGTCACCCACCTCTTCACGTCTCCGCCAGGCTCCCCACCTCCCAGCCTGGCAGCTCCAAGCCAGGGTGACTCATTTCTTTCCAGGACAGCCCTCTAGGCAACTTTCCTCTCCAGAGGGACTACTTCCCAGAAGGCCGGAAGTCCCCTCTGGAAACCGTTCTGTCTCTGTCTCTCTCTAACCCAGTCTTCCACTCCAGAGTCCAAACCGAAGAGTCAGAGGGACTGGTGCCCGGGGCTCAGCCTAGCTCCGCCGGCTCCCTCTCAGCCCTCGCACGCGCGCGGGCGCCTTCCCGCACGCCACTGCCCCCTGGAGGACGAGGTGGGGAGCGCCCTGGCCCCGGGGATCCTGGGCTCCCACCTCTGCAGGCTGCGCCCCGCGGTTCCCGCCCTCAACTGGCTCGTGCCCGCTCCCCCGCCCTGCTGCCTCCTGCCTCTCGCTTCCCGGCCACATCTTCCTCACTGCCTCCTGCTTCTCGCTTCCCGGCCACATCTTCCTCAGCCTTCCAGCCCGACGGACCATGTCGAGGTTCAGCTGGGGATACGGCGAGCACAACGGTGAGTGACTTTTACTGATCGGAGCGGGGCTCTGCGTAGGGGAGGGCCGAAGGGGCTGGTCCGAAGCCCCGGCTCCCGCCGATCACACGTCGCTGATCTCACACTTGCGAGAAACTTTTCGGTTCCTCTTTAAACTGAACGGCGTTCCCCGGAGCCCAGTGCGGGAAGCCGGGGGCAGGCTCAGTCATGTGTAGACCGGCAAGTGTCTTCTGCGGGCTGTGGGGCGTGGAGGTGAGTGCTGGGGTGTGGTAGCTCCGTCAAGATTCCTAGACCCCGGTATCGTTATACGTGTCCGTTCACCTTCATTTGAAAAACCGAGGACTTTCCTGAGTAATAACCACTATCAATGAAAGGCTTGGAGATTACAAGCCTGACGACACACTTTAATAAAATGAGGACAAGCTCGCTTTCAGTTTTTTAAGCTCACTGTTCACTTTGGAGAAACAAATCATGGAAAATCTTTGAGAATATAGTTAAAATATCTTGTTTGCATTGTGGCGCTGAAGATTAAGTTGCCTTCTCCGCATCCAAAATACTGCAAATTTCTTAATAACTGTTACAAAGAAATATTCCCATAGCTATTTGCAGCTGGCTGACTGCTCCTGTTGGCTTTAGTAAGGCTTTAGGTTCTTTCTGGGAAGTCAAGTTCTATTTGGGGCTACTTCACTCTTTCTTCCTCTTTTTCCATGTTTATCCTTGCAGAGACTGAGATTAGCAAAGGAGTGTTGGAATTATAATGCATTGATAAAAATCTATTTATTGTTGGGGTGACAATAAGACGTTGCACTTTTCTTCTGGCATATTCTAAACTGTCAAAAGTACACCATTTTTCTTGTTTTTATGTTAAACAGAACTGATTGTTTCAAATAATGGTTATGTGAAGTAATCGGAAAATGACACCAAGAAAGCCTTTTAGTGAATGACTATCGAAATTAGGGCTGTGTTAGCTTGATTTAGCCATTTCACAATGTATATCAAAACGTTATATTGTACACCATAAATATATACAATTTTTATTTGTCGGCTTAAAAAGTGAAGAAATAATAATAAAAAAGAAAAAGATTAAGACTAAATAATAATAATAGCACTTTCCTTCATGCACATTATTGAACAGTACTGTACAAGGGTACTTCAAAAAGTTCATGGAAAGATTCATTCCTATCTTTCCATGAACTTTTTGAAGTATCCTTGTATAGTAAAATTTTTTAGAATGTTTACTTTCACAAACTAATAGAAAAGTTCCATTTCTAATTGTAGCCCATTTGAAGTTATGATTAACATGCTAGTTTAAAAATGGCAGCAGGTGATAGTTAGAATGAAAGGTATAGTTTAGGTAGATTTCTTTTTGACTGAGGCCATAACTATAATCTTACATTTTGCTAATTTCCAATTTATCTTTAGGGGGGCAAGCAGCCACAAAACAAATTTCTTTTCATTTCCCTCTCTGCTGGATCATTTTTGTTATTGTTATTTAATAGTTATGGGGTCCCAACTGTAGTGGATTGAATTTTGCCCCCCCAAAACTCACTGAAGCTTGAATTGTGTCCCCCATGTTTGATTATTAGAAACTTAGCCCCCACTGTGGCTGTTAAGAGGGTGGGAAATCCTGTTATGGTAATTGAAAGGTGGAGCCTTGAAGAAGTGATTAGATTGTAGGGCCATGTCATAGTGAATGGATTAAAAATGGTGGTCAGGGGTGTGGTTCTGAGGGCTTTAAAAGAAGAGAGAGGTGGGCCGGCCGGTGGCGCACTGGATAGTGCGCCGCTTGGGAAGCA